TGAAGGTGAAGAAGCTGAAGAACTACCTGAAATTGCATATTCAAATATTTCTCCATTTGCTATCATATATTTGTATTTCTCACTATTTTCTTGAATCCATTTTCTCTGTTGTTCTTCTAGTTGTTCAATAGCATCATCCTTTTCTACTACAGCACATGATAATGTAGATATTAGAAAATTTTGTGTGCTATTAAAGAAATTATAAAAATTCTTACAATATGAATGAAGTGTACCATTTCCTGTGCAAGTTTCCTTTAATGTTTTATATGCTTCCACATATTTATCTATAAGAGCCTTATAATCGCTGTTACAATACCATTTATATTTATATAAATCTCGTTGGAGGTCAAAATAATCTTTTGAATAATCAAATAATGTCATAACATCTTTAAACTCTTTATCAGTCAAATTATATTTATCAAAATTACATCTCCTCCGACCTTCATAACTCTTTAGAAAAAATTTAAATCGATCTAAAACAGTGTAAAATGTATTTTTATTTATTAAATTATTATATACTACATTGCCTAACCAAAAGTACAGATAATCACAATCAGCTGTATTAAAATTCTCTGTCTTATTTTTTTTATATACATAGCATAAAGCATTAAATGATTCGTCAAAACCATTGATTTTCCAATTATCGCTATATATTAATTCATTTTCTCTATTGTAAATATCTTCCTCACATTTCCTGACTTCCTTATCAAAAATAGCGTACTTCTTTTTTGAAGATAATGCATTAAGTTCTTCAGTCTATGAATTTAAAAAAAAAGATAATATATAAATTTTTATTAACAAAAGAAAATAAAAAAGTTTATTTAAGAAGAAATATTATACATTAACACAGAAAATAATTTATATAATATAAAAGTTGTACCCCTAGTATAGGACGCATTATTAACAAATCTCAAAGTGTGATATACAAACAAAATAAAACAAGCATATACATTACTCTGTGTTTACAAATATATTGTGAATACTGATATAAAATTCATAAGCATATATATAGTTCTGTTTAAGATTAGACACTACTGTTTATGGTTTTGTCTATTGTGGTAATATTTTATTATGCATAATTTCTTTCTTATTATCTTTTATAAAATATGGTTATATATTTTTTATAGAAAATATTATCTACATTTATATATTTTAAATATTCCATTATATTTACAATATAAGTATGAAATTAATTATTTGTGTTTCTTTATAGTATCTATTATATTATGAGTAAATTAAACTTATAATATATATTCTTTATGCACAATTTTCGTAAAATGAAGTGTCATGGACACTATAGATTAAATTGAACATTATAAGCTTTTTTATTTTATACACAATATGATTATTTTGGTTTCATATATATAATTAATATTAATAAGGATCTATTTGAATACTTTAATTAAATATGTATCACTATTTTGTTGCAAACTATGAATTTAATGGATTTCTTTAAATTATTTTTCATTTTTCTGATTTCATTGGTTCTCCACCATTTTCATATTATATTAAGAAGTATTATTTATGTACTATTGATATTAATAGCAACAATCTAACGATCTCCATGAATTAATTAAAAATGATTTTGATTTATGTAGAACTAACATACATTGATTATTTCAAAATAAATAAATTTTAGCTTATTATACGTTACTCTAAATGGATATTATATAAACCCATAAAATTTTTTATATATTTTCATTTTCTTTATTTATAAAAATATACATTTATAATTAAAATTTTACAAAAATTTTTTTTTTTGTATATATATGGAGTTATTATTTCGTAACAAGCATAATTATGACATTTTACAAATACATTCTTACTTATGAAAAGTTAAGTCTATTCAATAAAATATTACTTTTAAATCTCATTTATAATTATTCTATAATTAAAAACATATGAAAGAGTTTAATTAATACTAACATATCTATGTGAAATATTGCATATTTTTTTACATGACTTTATTAAACGATATAATAGCTAGAATATAGTGAGGTTATTTATACATAAGATTAACTAT